TCCTTCTCTCTCCCCTCCCTCCCTCACTCCCTCCCTCACTCACTCCCTCCCTCCTTCCCTCCCTCCCTCCCTCCCTCCCTCCCTCCCTCCCTCCCTCCCTCCCCCTCTCCCTCTTTTCCCCCCCCCCCCCCCCGTTATGCTCCCTCCCTCTACTTCTTTCTTTCCATCGCTTTTCCCTTGCTCCCACCGCCCTCATTCTCCACTCCCTCCCCCTTCTCTCCTTCTTCTCTGCTGTCCTCTCCCCACCCACCCTCTTCCTCTCTTCCTCGCGCTAGCATGAGTTGCTCTTCCAGGTATGCACAAAGATCACAGCAGTCACCTGCAACATGTGCGGGAGGCAGGTCTGCGATCAGGCTGATTGTATTACCCGGCATTCCGTAAATTGCAAGAGATGAAGGAGGTCAAACAAGCTGCTGGTCGTTGTAAATGTGAAGAGAAAAGAATTGTAGGGGTAAGGGGAGAGAGGATGAGGATGAGAATGAAAGTGAAGAGGAACAAACAAGTAGCAGCATGAGAACGCAAATGCGAAACCAGAGCTGCGAGCACGAATGTATCACAAACTCCTACTCTGTTCTCCTCTGCTCTTCTCCCTTCGTCTCTCCTCCCTGCGTCCCTTCCTTCTTCGTCGCCTCCTCCTCCCCGCTCGCCGCCATCAATCTGCTTTTCGCCCACTCGAGGTGCTCAGCGACCATCTCGTCCTTGCCCGCCCATGCTCTCAACGCCTCCTCCACAACAGGCACCAGCAGCTTGTTCCTCGAGTTCCCAGCCGCCACTGCGACGTTCCTGATGAACCGCGCGAGGCCGATGCGCTTGATGGGAGAAGAGGAGAAGGTCTGGAGGAATGAGTCTTCCGACATGAGCAGGAGGTCCTGCGGAGGAGAGAAGCGATCATGGGGGGGGCGAGAGCAGCACAACAGGACATATTTGTCGTGCTCAGACACAAGTCAAAGTCAAACACACGGAACGTCAACTACTCTTGTCATGAGAGACTCCAACAAACACAGTCATTCAGCATGATTCAGAGATCATTTCAACACGCTCCGATGACCCTCGTTTCATCTTCACCTGTAACTTGGGCGCACTGACGGACAGATCGACCTGCCCGAAGAGAGGAGAGCCTGCGATATCTCCCCATTCGAACTTGTTCCATGGGCAGACCTGCCATGCTGTCGTCACAGGAAAAGCATAGCAGGAGAGGAAGAGAAGGAGAAGGGCGAGCAAGAGTAGGAAGAGCAGGAGCAGGAGCAGGAGCAGGAGCAGGAGCAGGAGCAGGAGCAGGAGCAGGAGCAGGAGCAGGAGCAGGAGCAGGAGCAAGAGCAGGAGCAGGAGCAGGAGCAGGAGCGAGGAGTAGGAGCAGGAGCAGGAGCAGGAGCAGGAGCAGGAGCAGGAGCAGGAGCAGCCCCGACTCTTCTTTACCTGCTGGCAGACGTCACAGCCGTAGATCCTGTTGCCCATCGGCTCCCGTAGCTCGTGTGGGATGCTGCCCTTGTTCTCTATGGTCAGATAGCTGATGCATTTCCTCGCATCCAGCACGTGCTCCCCAACAAACGCGTTCGTGGGACATGCCGTCATGCACTTGCTACACTTCCCGCACCCTGCCCTGCTCCTCTTGACCTCGTCGGCGGGAAGAGGGATCGTGGTGAGAATCTCTCCGAGGAAGAAGCCTGATCCGACCTTCGGGCCTGATCCATCCACATACATCAACG